ATCAAATGTAATTGTCTGATAGTTAATATTTGTCTTGGATTTAATAACTTCATTTAAAAAGGCTTAGTGCTTTTTTATTTGGCTTTGTCATATTAATCAAAATCTTAGCCTTTATTCATTGCGTTTTTACTGAGGTGAAGCTGATGAATTGAGGGGTTGATGAACTGATGAAATTTTGGGGTTTCTTGTATCAAAAAAGCCAGTAAGACTGTTTTGTTTTTTGTTCAGACCAAAGGTTGAAGCTCATCTAGAAAATCTGTTTGTGTTCATAATAGTGTATTTTACTCACTGATAAATGCAATTTTTGTTTGTGTGTTGGGACCAGTCTTTGAAATCTGAGCATAATACCAGAGGTGTTAATGGAAAGAAAAATAATTGACAGCTATCTTGAGACAGCTGATATTCCAGTAACTTGAAGTAACTGATGCCCCTGTCAGCTGCTGCATAAAAACAACCTATAGAAATAATGTGGTCAAACACTTAGGTGGAATTCAAAATCTTACTTTTTTCATTCTCCGTTATCTCTTTGTTAGACTTACAATTGATTATGTAACAACATTGAAATAGTGGAGTATGATTTAATACAAGTGATCATTTGTTTATGTTATACGTATGTCTGAGGCTGACTGGCTTATAGTACTAGAGCTTCAGGCTCATCTTCCACTCAAATGCCTCAAATATGAGATACTGGGTCAATGCTACTGTGGCTGAAGTTCATTTGCTCTATAATGTGATCAAGCTTTACAAACAGGACAGTTAAGAAATAACTTTATGGAGACAACATAAGAAAGAGACATACAGAAGGCATTAAGAGAAGACAATAACAAAGGTCTTACTAGCTGTTGAAAGAAAGTTTTGATGCAAGGAAGTTGAATTAAGCTGTGGAAAGCAGAAGAGAAATGGCAGAATTACATATTTTAAGGTAAGAAAATGGGGAAAAGGTAGGAAGAAGGAAGAGAAGGGAAAAGATAAGACTGTTTTAATAGCCTTTTTGACAGTTATTTTGTTTCTTAAAGAAGAACATAGAGACATCAGTAATTCCTTTTGCTAAATGTTTTCTTTAACTGTTGAATGCAGAATTTATAGGAGTATCAGTATCTTAAGCTCTGCTTCCTGATCCGCTTGAGAAAACAATAACCTTCCACATTTATCTGTCACATACAGGCTATCAGTTGAACATTGTTATGGGTGGTAGGAAGATCCTGCATTGTCTATAGATAGACTCAGAACTCAAAGCTATTGAGAAATTGTTTTAATGAGTCATTACTCATTGAAAGATGCCAAATAAAAGCATATTCCACTTTCAAAGTAAAACACCATTACCGTGATGGAAGTAGGTTCTGTAGGTCTCCCATTAGGTCTCCAGTATCCCCATTTCACTTCTACTTGTCATGGGCTGTATTCATATCCACATTTATTCAACTCTAAGGACTCTGTGTCTGTGCATCACTTACTGTTGCCATTCTAGATTTCTCTCTCTGCAAGCACTTAAGTATTCTCCTGAGCTTTTTTCCTCTCCTTGTTTAGGAGTTGCTCTCATATCAGAGGTTCAAATGTCCTCCTCATTTATCTTCATCCAGTCCAGATGAGCACCCTTTGTGGCAAGATCTCTGTCAGTCTCCTCTAATTCTAGGAACTGTGTGTCTTTGTTCCCTGCAATCCTTTTTTTTTTGTTTGTTTGTTTGTTTGTTTTTAATGTATCTGATCTGAAATAAGTGAGTGTAGTTCTTCTGGGAAGTAGAGCAGAAATGAGCCTTCCTTACGCTGCGGGGTGTTAAAAGATGTCATCTTCATGTTATTTGACCTTTAATGATTATGCTTCATAATTATTCCATTTCTTCTTCATTTTCCTTCCCCTGGATTTCCATTTTCCCCAAAAGCCATATAGTTTTGCCTATTTATGTATAGAACACTTGGATAATTAAAGAGAAGCAATGTAACCTATCGAGTGTGGAATCTGTTAAAAGAGGTGAGCATGTACGCATAGGCCTTATATCCATGCTATCTCTTCATGCATGATGTCTTCTGGTTGCCTGCAGTTAAAGAGTAACACCCAGAGAACCACTCAGTCTTTCTCTGAAGACACTGGAAGTTTGATGTTTTTAGCCCCTTTACATTTAACCCATTTTCCGTAGAAGTGTGTTCCAGTAGTTAATTATGAATACTGTTCAATTTATGCCTCCTTGCTTGAGTTTTTTTGGCTTAAGTCTATAGCGATTTGTCCTTGATTTATGTTTGTCTGTTATGCCAAAAAAAAGTCTATTCAGTACTTTCTTCTCGTGAAGATTGTTCTATCTAGTTGTTGATAAACAAAACAGTTTGTGAAGAGTGTGTCTTGCCTTGTAAATAATTTTCTCCATTTTGCTCACATATGTAGTGTTTCTGGTTTTCCTCTTTTTTTTTTACATTCTTATGTATATGTTATATCAGTATTTGTCTCAACATTGTGGTCTAAAAAGAGGGAGAAATAGCGTTCCAGTTTCAGTTTATTTCTGCTTGTACATCAAAAAAAGTGCCTTTGCAGTTTTCCCTACTCTGCCACACTGTGGACATGTGTTCAGTTTCATCTTTGTTGTGAAATCCAAATCATTCTGGGTTCATAACTTTCAAAGATACATCTTTGTGGTTTTCTGAACTTGGCACAAGCTTCTTATTCGGTGTTAAAATGCAGTTTGTTTGAATGGGCCTGCTTCATCAAGCAAATCCATCCCTATTCGTATCACAATCACCTTTGTGTGATCTGCACATTTTGTTTGCCTTGACAATCACTGACAAAATAAACATAGCCCAATTCTGCGATACCTTATTTTATACAGTTTGGTTTTCATCCTTTCTTAGTAAATAGTTTTCGTCCTGTTGGTCTTTCATTCATTTGAAGTTGTTGTACAACATCATTCTATTTCTGTTATTTTTTAGAGATTCATTGAGCAGAATAAATAGACCGTTTTAAGAAAGGGTATACCAGAGCTTATACACATCTTTGTTAGGTTTTGAGTATTTTTTTTAACTTCATAACACTTGCTTGTTATGTCTAGATAAATTTTGAATGAGAAATACTCTTAATACTGCAGCTGAATTTCTGCTAGGTTTTCCCTAATAAACATCATTTCTATAATTAATCTATGGCCTTGTTCAACCAGCATTTCTCTTTCTAACTTTCTCTTTTTCTGCTGTTGTCAGTCATGAAATATCTGTAACAGTCTTGCACTGGATCCTTAATAATGTCAGACTTTTAATAGTGGTAAGAAATTGACTGAATTTTACTACTGCGTACAAGTATGTTCAGATTTTTGCTATAAAAATTCATATAAGCATTATTTTCCTATTAAGTATTTATCTTCTACTGTAGCTTTATGCTTTGTACAAAACTTGCATCTCCAAAGAGATACCATATTAGATATATTTGTGTCTTTCTAGAAATACCTGAATTTGGCAGGAGTAATAGGAATTTCTGTGACATACCTCCTAAAGAAAATAGTAATACTGGTTTTACTTACGTGTATGTAGATTTTGACTGTTTTTATGGTTCATGGTAAAAGATTTTATCAACCTTCTTTCAATTTAAAGATAATTCCATGTAGGAAATATCCTACACAATTATGTCAGCTTACAAAATGCAAATCTAAATGAGTTTGAGCTCTTACTAGTTCAGAAGAGCTAGGATTATTGCTGTATTAAAGCACCTGCCTTGTATGTAAGGCGGAGCTGTTGTACTTACTAGCACTTAGCCCCTTGCACAAGCTGAAGTGGTCCCTCCAAGGTATTTAGTATGTATTTTACAAACATGATATTCTTGTAAACTAAATGAAATCTCTAGAGCAAGTAGACACTTGCTAGAATGTGTTCCCTTCCTCAGAAATAATCTTGTTTTCAAAATCAGCTTTTTAGAAGATGTGAAAGTCCAATTTTTTAAGGCAGACAATTTTTTAATAGGAATTTTCTGGTAAATATGTTACATCCAGACAGTAGCTTTGTGCTGGCACAACTACTGTGGAAGGACAGTGATGCTGAAATTGAAAACACATCTTTCCATGCCTTGGAGTATAGTTTTTCTCTGTCTGAGTAAATAGAACAAATTAAGTAGCTTTTTTTTTTTTTTTAAATTGGGTTGCTTTACTTTGGAGTGTTAAAACGAAGGATAATCTTCTTGCACAGGATCGAGGAGATGAATTCACTTACACGGGGAGTGGAGGTAGAGATCTTTCTGGCAATAAAAGGATTGGAGAACATTCATTTGATCAGACATTAACACACATGAATAGGTAAGTTTTGAAGATAAAATTAAAAAGTATTTCAAAACAAAGAGCTGGATTGTAATGCTTTAATATTTTGAATAAATTTAATATTCATTCACACGATGGTGCCTCTTACTGATAAGAGGTGTTTTATCAAGCATTATGTTTTGTTGATTTAAATAAACGCTTGCACCCCAATGAAATACATTGATATATTGCTGATGCAGCTGGTAGTGATGTCTCTGGTTAAATTGTCCTACAATTTCCTTCAGAGGACTCTTGTTTGAATTTAATGAGGAGTTTGTCAAAACTCTTGGGTGGAAGTTTTCTATTCTGGGTGTTTCTTTTTAAGTTTCTTCTTCAGTGGTTAAATCAATTTTGAAATTTAAGTAGGAAGAAAGCATGTTCATTTTCCCATTTTAAAAGAAATTTTTCCTGGTTTGCTAGTCCTTTCTTCCATCATGGTTTTCTGTGAAAAACAAGGAATTAGGGTGTTGCTTTATCAAAAACAGGTGCTTGAAAAAGAAGATATATGTTCAAAAGATGAATAAGACATCTGCTTAAAGTGTTTTTACGTCTTCTAAAAGTTGGCCTGAACAAAGAGTTTTCCATCCTTTTCTAAGAGCATAATCTCTGTTATGCAACTGACCACTTAACTGTGGGGTGCAGAGATTGACTGATACCTTTTCTTTGCCAGGTCTGCTTTTAGATATGATGTACTGCTGTCAAGCAAAGTGGAGGGGGATTCTTTCAAGCTTTTTGGTGGTACTTAGAGGAGAGAGAGGAAAAGCCTGACTTGGCTGCTGAGAAGGGGGGGGGGGGGGGGGGGGGATGTGATGTGAACAAGAGCAAGGAGGGAGGGAAGGAAGATGGAAGTAGGTTTAAGCAATAGGTTTACAAGCATATTTAGTGAATAGAGCAAACTTGCTTTGGGAAACAGAATTAAGAGGTGGACTCCTTAGACTCAGCATTTCTCTGCTCTTAGCAAATGAGAAATTGCTGGCAAAGCTTGCCTTGTAGCTAGGTGTTAGCGTGCATGGAGTGTAACAAGGTGCTGCTCTCAGCTACTGATTTTGATACAAGTTTTCAAGCACTTTGATACTGAAGATTATGATGATTCCATGTAGTTGAATCGGTATCGGTTTTGCTTGTCCAGATATTTTTCCTTTTTTAAGTTTTGGTTTTATATAAGAAACATTTTTAAAGTTGGCATTGTATGCCTGTGTCTTCCTGTTCTGTACAATGTCAGTTTTATGCTCATACCATGGCTGTTTATAAACCATGTTATTTCTTCTGTTCTGAGATCCATGGTTTGGTTTGAATCTGATTCTGAAGGATTTTCAATCCCTGATAAATCAGGCTGTGGTAATAGAAATACTGTTCATTACGGCAGCTTGGTCTAGTACATATTCATACTGTCTTGCTCCAGGTTTCTAGAAGAGGGTCTTCATGTAGTTAGTGGGTAAAGGGGTTTGCTTGTCCTTGAGTTAGCTACTGTTATTTAATTCCTACTCTGAGGCAATTTATGTATTATGTGAGAGAATTCACTTACTTAGAGGTTTTTTTGATGGTTACTGTGTACTTTTTTCTCTATAGTGTTTTTCATCATATTCATTACTTTCGTGTACACACTCAAAAAGCCTTAAAATCTGCAGTTAATTGGGAAGAGTGATAGGGAAAGTTTGCCTTTTATTGTAATTTTCTTTTAATTCCCTCAATGCTGTTTAGGAAGGGATTGTTTTTAAAAATGAAAAATGTTAAATCTAAGAGGTTTGTTTTATTTAGCAATAATCAGCTGAGCTTTCATCTGGAACCTTGACAACAAAATATTTTCTGTTCCCATTTTTTTTCTTACCATACATGGTAGCGTGTATCTTATTGCTTCCACCAGTTCTGTACTTGTTAAAGACTATACTAAAAAGTTCTATGCTGATTGATAAAGCATAATTAGACAAGGGAAATAGATACGACTTAATTACATTGATTCTCAAGAATCTGATGTGTGAAGCAGTCTAGTTTATGAAGATTTTAAATATCTTTCTAGGGCATTGGCCCTTAACTGTGATGCCCCACTGGATGACAAAAATGGAGCAGAGTCTAAGAACTGGAGAGCTGGCAAGCCAGTCAGAGTAGTGCGCAGTTCAAAAGGACGGCGGATCAGCAAATACGCCCCAGAGGAAGGCAACAGATATGATGGCATTTACAAGGTATTCTGATTTCTACTGAGTGCAATGTAACATTTCTCTTCAGCTGTTTCAAAAAGTCATATGTGTTACATTGCAAATTCTTCATTATTACTTAAAAGCAATAATTATTTTTTCTGCATGATAGCTTTTTAGCCTCAGCTTATTCTGCAAAAAACTGAAATGAAATTATTCAGAGCAGTGATAACAGAACATAATCCACAGTAGATTACATGAAGTTGAATATGTAGGCTACTTTATATGTGCTTACTGAGTCATAGTCATCCCTGGAAATCAAATTATTTCCTCATTCCTTCCAACTGTATCCTAGCTTTTTTGTGTGTTTAATGACTTCTCAGCATCTGAAATAAAGGTGTGTGCCTTTTAAGACCACTGAGTTTATCAAAATTTCACACCTGACAGAAGAGCTGGTGTATAATAGTAATGTATAACTTAGTCTTCTCATTTCTTCTTGAACAGTTAAAGTATGACCATATGCATGTGTTTGGCTTGTGATAAAAGGCAGTAATTTTATATTGTTCTTTAGGTGGTGAAATATTGGCCAGAAATTGGAAAATGCGGATTTTTAGTTTGGCGCTATCTTCTGAGGAGAGATGACATTGAGCCTGCACCTTGGACTTCGGAAGGAATGGAGCGGTCAAAGAAACTGGGTCTGAGCGTACAGGTTCGAATCGGGACTTGCAGAGTATTTTTTATTCTCAGTTCCAGTAAACAAATCCCAGAAATAGAAATCAGTTAAATTAAAGCCCCATTTTTTTTCTTGTACTTCACTGTGGCAGGATTTAATGCCAAAAACCACTACAGATTACCTGCAGACTGAAAGAATCCTGTAATACTGACACAGCAGAAGGAACGGTGGATGAAGCTTTCTGCCTTAGCAGTACATTGGTTTGCATATATGGATGGAAAATTAAGAGTTTGAATCCAGTTTTGTAATCCTTAAGCTGGAAAGAATTTCTACAAGTGTCTATTGTTATAGCTGAGTCTGTCTGAGAAATCGAAAAACCTCTGCATTTTTATGTATTTTTCTCTCCATGTGACTGAGGAGTTTGTATAGGTAGTGTAGTTCAGGCACAGAAATAAAGTGACCCATGAGGACTTGGGCGTTGCAGAATCCATGAAAGATGGAAAGAATTAACATGCTGTTTCTTTTCTCAGTGAGGCAATAGTATATATTAGAGCATACCATCATCTTCAACTTGGCCTAACTAATTTGTGTAGTTGTAAGGGCATAGGTACAGATATCAGGTTCCTTTTAATAAACCCAGTCTGGATTAGATTCTTTGACTTGACTACACTTTCTTAATAACAGAAACTAATTTAAATGTTTTCTCCATCATGTAGGGGTTTAAAATTATTTTGTAGTTATTTCAATATGTAGTCATAAGGTTTTAAAGTCTTTCAGAAATTAGTCTTGTTGGTATTTGGGGATTCCTGTATGCCAGTGGGTTTTGTTTTAAATCAATGCTTTTTTATTTTAGTATCCAGAAGGTTATTTGGAAGCCATGGCTAGTAAGGAGAAGAAAGATAAGGTTAAAAAGCAAACTGTGAAACAGGAGCCAACCAGCCAGAGTAATGGAAACCAGAAAAGGACAATTGATGATGGTATTTCTTTTCACTTTTTTAGTATTCATCAGCAAAGTCTGTCATGTTAGGTTTATTAAGCCAGTAGCATGAAAACTTTGCGGAAGTGTGAAGGTATTTGGAATACTAATGTAAATTGATAAGCACATGCTCTGTAATTAAGTAGTAGTGTAGGGATCTTACTGTATTTTCTACTCTTACGGGGTTTTTTTCTCTTAAGCTCTGTAGAAAAATGAAGAGTCTTCTGTGCAACTGTGTGCTGCAGTCCAAAACAATGCTGAACAGCATGAGTTGGAGTAGGGATTTGATTGTCGCATTTCATGAGTGTGATCCATGTTTGAGCCTTCTGGAAACAGTTTTGTCTTCCCCTTTTATTAGTTCAGACTAATACTCTGTTGTTACTGCGTCTGATGGTCATAATCTTAAGCAGGTATAGAGGAACCTACGAATACACCCAAAGCCATGAGGATGGGAGATGGAGGGAAAGGAGAGGCTTTCCAGCTGACTCAAGAGCAGCAGTGGCTGATTAGAGAAGACTGTATGAACCAGAAACTGTGGGATGAAGTACTTGCTTCTCTTAAGGAAGGACCAGTATGTTTGCTGCATGCATAATTTTTAATGTTTACCTTTTCTTTAGACTGTAAGGAGAAATCTTGAGTCACTCTTAAAACCTAATCTGCTTGTTGAACTTTTTCTGAATACAGACAATGTCTAGCATTATTTTTATTTGTAAGACTTTGATTTCAAGAAAATAATCCTCGCTTATACAATTTGCTATTGATGGCTTGGTTTACACCTACATAATAGAGATCTTTTCTTGCTCAAAAAGTATTTTGAAGTTAGAAGTGGCTTTTCTTTTTCTTTTCATTTTTGAAGGGAGCATGTTTTCTCTGAAATGATAGATGTATTTTTGTGCTGTGCTGATGTGAGAAATCAGACATAAAGAAAGATGGTTCTAGTTACTACTTTTTGTTTCGACAGAAAATAGTTTTATGACAGAAAATACAGCTTGCCTGCTTTGTTTAAGAAGATAGAAGTACTGTCATCTTCAGATTTAGATATGAAATGAAAATATTTTCATCCAAATCTAGATTATCTCACTCTTTAGAGAGGGAACCTTAAGTAAGAGAGAAAATACTTTCTTCCCCCTAAATGTCAAGAAAACAGTAAGAATAGCTCAAGATTGAAGAAACTATAGACGGTAGTGTAAAAAAAAGTGCATAAAAGGAATATCTCCTGGAATATTATGTCTTTCAGTGATAATTAGTATTACCAATGTCAAGTTCATAGTTATTTTAGCTGTTTTGCAGCAGAAATCAAGGCACTAAGAAGTTAAAATAACTTGATAAAACTCAAGTCAGTGAAAAACAAACCATTGGTTGGGAAATGGATATCTAAAAATGGACATACATAATTAGTTTATTTGAGAATTACCAGTGGCTTGCTTTTGATGCTTCTGTAACAGAAAAAAACATCTGTAAGTCTCTGTTCTTCCACTTACAGTACTAATTTTTGCTCTAATGCTGCTGCAGTTGTCTTTGTGTAGGAACTTATAGTGTAAAGTTATTCGTTGCTACCTGTCTTCTATCTGGTGTCTGTAATGACTAGAAGGAATTTCAGCTCTTAAAATTGTGCATGATGACAGGCAGTAGAGATACGTGTTTGTAAAAAGGAGAAACCTGAAATTTAAAAGTGGTTGAATTACTGAGAAGTCATTTTTCTACAGGTTCCTACCCATAATTTTGGTAAGATTTCCATTTGGTTGCCACTAAAGGCAATGGGAATCAGTGGTAGCTTTGGGTTGCTACTGTGAAGATATAAAGCTTTCTGCTTGAAACAACCACTTTCCCTTTTAAGTAAATAAAATGTGTTTTAAGTTAAATCTGGTATTTTAAAAATTATTACAAAGAACTGTATTTTGATTACCCATAAATACCCAAGCTTGTATTCTTGAGATATTTGGAGATCACTGACATGCCAGAGATAAGCATGCTTGTGTGTGTGAAACACCTGCCACAAATGTATCTTGAGGTTCCTCAGAGGTGCCCTGAGAAGATTTAAAAAACAGGGAGGTTGATTTACACTCTGCAGAGAACTTGGCCTGAGGAGAGAAGCAGCCATTAAGCTAGCCATAACCCATAAGCACAGGAGGAGGTGTAGAACTGGCTTTCTTAGCAGAAGAGAAGTTCCCTTGGCAAAGAAACAGAGATCGTTCAAGGACATGCAAATTTCTATCAGCAGTTACTAAACCCAATTACTAAATTTTTTGACCTATACTAAGAATCAGGCATTAGAGGCCCTCTGGTCTGTTTCATTTTGTTTATAACAATACTCATACAAACAAGTAAATAATCTTTAAAACATTAGTGTTTTGATTTCTGGAAGAGCAGGGAAATTAAGCAGTTATGGACCTGCTTCCTGATTACTTTCAGAAAGCTGCAGTTATGGATATGGAGGACTTAAGAACTTCTGGAGGTTCATCATCTTTATGTAATAAGTGGCATTTATGAGAACTATAATAGAGTTTGTCTTTTTTATTCCTTTGCCCTACACTAGAATTTTCTGAAGAAACTGGAACAATCCTTTATGTGTGTCTGCTGCCAGGAGCTGGTTTACCAGCCAGTGACAACAGAGTGCCTCCACAACGTCTGTAAAGTAAGAATAAACTCGGTCTTGCTCTGGGCTGTTTTCTTGCCCCTGAGACACCAGTCACCAAAGCCATATGTGTTTTAGAAATACAATAATTATTGCCTAAACAAGCAAAAACATGAAACAAGTTTGCATTCAGTGATTGCTCTGTGAGCTTAATTTTATGTAATAAAGAGTGGAAGTATGTTTAGTATAGTTCCTGATAGACATAATGAGTGAAGTTTACCATTATTGTCATTCCTTTGTGATCAGTGGAATTACACTAGGAGTTGGTTTGGCCCAAGAGCTAGATGTTGGTACAGTAACAGTAATTTATTTTACATAGTTAAGGAAAAAAACCAGATTTTATAATTGTGTAACACTCTTATTAAGAGTTGTTACAAGGATGCAGGGTAAATACAAGAAAATTATTTGGGCTTATTCACAGTAATTTATGTTACCTTGTTATTATTGGCATTGTTTATGTTTGGTAGGAGGGCCACTGAAGTAAATTTATAACTTCTGTATCTTAAAGTCTTAATCAGTTGGATATAATGTAAGGAGTTAGGAGTCCAGTTTGTACTAGAGTTAGTTTTTGTAGCACGATTGTGTGTAGAATCATGCGCTGAATTGTGCATATTTGAACTGTGCCTGTCATACCTAGTATTTCTGCCTAGGAGCCTCAAAGGACTCAGACTATTATCATCCTAGTACAATATCTGATAATGTGAGTTTGTTGTTCAAGAAGATATCACTCCAGTAAAAATCACTGTCTTGCTATGGATGGCCTGCACACATAGAATGACTATGGCTCCTTAAAAACACACAAACTATTATGAAGGGGTTAATATTTAGAATTATGGAAATTGGAAAACCATGGTGAAGAGAAAGCTGAATGGCAACAAACTGAGAAAGCACAGAATTTCAAGATGTCAGTAAATATTTGTGAATACAAAATAACATCCAGTTAAAGTTGTAAAGAATAGTTTGATAGTAAGCTGCTGTTGCTGTTTGGGCACAGATCTGCCCTGATAAATTTCTGATATTCAGCTCACATGCTTGGGCTATCTGCAGCCTGTGGTAACATAGTAAGGAGGGCAGCACTGATGCTAATCTGTTAGAGATTGTATTATTCTACATATGTCTTTAAGGCTTAACTGAATGTCATTTGATGAGGCAGATGGAGATTGTTACTCAAACAATATAGCTGGTATACTTACCTTCCTCTTGAAATGAAGGTCTGGAAAACTGTAGCAATCTAACCAGGAAGCTAGAAGGAAGCTGCAGACGTGGCTGATTCACAGGAGGGCACTAGTGGAAATGAAGGGCAAGTCTCAGTAGTTATTTGTTTTAATTCCTCCCAAGCTCAATGTTTCACATCCCAGCCCAGAGCAGAGTTCCTTTGTTAGGACATTTTAGTCATAGAGGCAGAGGTGGGTGCCAGAGGGCTTGGTAGTGACTTCCTTTTTTGTGGTAGTATAGCAGATTGCGTCTTTGGTTTATAGTGATTCCTTAGTTTTTGCTGGTTAAGCTGTCAGTCAAAACCAAAGTTCTCACAATTTACTTCTCTGTCTCTGTGTGTCCTAGAGTTGTTTACAGCGCTCCTTCAGAGCTGAAGTCTTCACCTGCCCCGCCTGCCGCTATGACCTGGGAAAGGGCTACACCATGGTTCCCAACAAGATACTGCAGACACTACTGGACCAGTTCTTCCCTGGTTACAGTAAAGGACGATGATGTGCTCAGATCCTTCCGTACTTCTCCCAGTGACTTTATAGACAGTAAAGGAGAATAAACATGGGAAATTCAACAGTGGACCAGCCAGCTTGATGGGACTCAATATATTGTCACATTTTGAAGCAGCTAACCCTCTTCCCCTCGTAGCCATCTTTTTGGTGTAGTGAGAACTCTAATTCTCAGCTGTCTTTTAACATCAAGGGTAGTTTTGGCCAGTTAACAAATAGTTTTTAAAGGAAAAAAAAAAAAAGAAAAAGCCTCAGCTCTTACTGGCCTAGCTGATGCTTAATTTATGATTTGTTTTTTTGTAACTACCTCAGGACAGAGGAAAATAAATTGTGGGGATGACAAAAAGTTAGTGAAGTTTTAGCTACACACTGCCTCCTGAATATTAGTTGTGCCTGGTCCATGTGGTTTGATTTACAAAAAAAACCCCAAACCAAAACAAAAACCCACAAAAAACAGCAAAAAAACAGAAACAGCACTTAAGCCAGCTGGATTAAAGAACAGCAAATTCTGTGGTGTGCATAATCCTTTTTTGTCTTTTTCTTCCATTATGCTGTATTTTTTTGCAAGAACAGGCTGATTTTTAGTCTATTTTTGTGAGCTTCATTGTGCTTCTCTTGTATCTTATGCAAGTTGACTACTAATGACTAATGAGAACAATATGAATGCATTGTTGCTGCATTAGTGTAAAGTGATCTGTGTTTTTTGCACTTAAAGAGGGTATTCAAGACACTCTAGTTGTGTAAAAAATATTTCATATAAAAAAGCCACTTCTGTATTAGTTAAACTGTATGCTTTTAGTAGGTCTTGTATCAGTGGCAATACATCTACACAGCATTGAAGGCAGTGCTAGCTTGGAGAGGGTTCAAATCGCTTCATATTGTGATCTGAAATTTTATATACAATATATCCCCCCCAAAATATACCTTATTAAATATTTTATGATTCAGAAAATTTGCTAATTTTGTTATTACTATTATCCACTTACTTAAATCATAACATTTTTATAGAAATTTTTTTTTCAGATTACTAAATGCTTTCTTTAGGTGGGCTTGTTATTGTTCAGACATGAGGCTTTACATTCCTTAACTCATTTCTCAATGAAAAAAACATTGTTAATTTAGAAAAAAAACCCCAGCCTGACATTGATATCCGTGGGCTCACACATGCTCTATAGCAGCGGCTGTTGTGTAGCTACTGTGGTCTCTACTGAGCATTTGAAGGAAGCTCGCTAGGGCTCAGCCTGTGCACCGGAGTCGGAGGGAGCCCTTCCTGCCCCGCTGGGTTGGCGGAGCTTGCTGCCAGAGCCAGCGTGGGGCAGCTGGGAGCTGCGGGTGCCCTGCACAGCCATCAGTCAGAGATTGCCACCCTAGGCGTGGGGCTGCACTGACAGCCTGTAGTCTGTGAAGTGGGCATGTATATTAGTATATGTGAAAGTATATATGTCATTCTCGCTGATTTAAGATCTTGTCCTTACCCCGGTGTTGTAATGAACCGATCATTGAGAAGCACATGGCATTGCTGGGTTTTGTGGCTGAAAGTTAGCTTAATAGCTTATTCATTTCATCTGAAATAAGTAACTTCGCTCTCTCCCCACTCGCCCCCCCGCCCCCCCCAATTCTACTTAGGATTTCAGTTGCATCCAAAATACATAATGCTGGTACTCTCTCTCTAGTCATGGCTGAACAGTTTTGAAAGATTTAACTCCTTAGCTTTTCCAGTGCTTACTAGAATGAGGGTTCAGCCTTTGTTCAGTAAGTGAAGTGGTATTAGTGTTATGCATACAGTTTAAAGGAGCTGTAGACAGATTCTTATATCTTGTTGAACTTCTATGTTTTACAAAACAGTAGCTCAGTATTTTATGGGGATAACAGATGTAATTTTACCTTTGTAACAATCATTGCATCTGTGCAGTAAGCACATAAGACTTGTGGCTTTTTACTTGATAGTTGAGTGCTGTGAAATATTTTATACCTTTTAATGCTTTTTTCCGTTTGACGGTTTTTACCAATTAATTGATGAGATAAATTTGTCAGTTTGAGGTCAACAATGGGAAGTTCTCTGCTTATTACAAACATATGTAAACCATTTTTTTAATATATCTTTTCAGTGACAGACACCATCAAGCAACATGAAACTGCCTTTAACAAACATTAAAGTAGCTTGACAAGACTTTGTGGAGTTAGATTGGCCATGCAGAAAGACTGTCCTTTCCTCAAATTACAAGTTTGCTGTGTTTTTTCACAATTTTTTACACCCTTAGTGCTGCATCAGTAGCTACTGAAACACGCTCTTTTCAATAGTAAATTCTAGAGCATAAAATTCTAATTTTCTTCACTATGTGTTTGGACATTTTAGGACCTAGGTGCAGCTTTTCACGTCAAAACTGGTATTTGGCCTAATCTTCCTTTAATGAAATCCATTTGTGTCTCTTGTCATCTGCAGTCTCTGTGCAATTAAAGCCCCCACTGAAGTCTAAAGGTAGGTAAAGGAAAAGTTGCAGTCCCAAAACTTTCACTATAAAGGACGCAAAAGTACTGTACTTAAAAACAGTGCTGTTGAACACTAGCCTCATTTGTGTCACTTCAGAGAAAGTTCCCAGGCATGAGTGTGCACATAGACCTTCAAGAAAAGGTTGAGTAGTTGCTGGTTGTAAGGTGCAAAACTGTGCAGTGCTTTCCTCAGTCTGTTATCCCAGTACCTGGTTCTTTATTCATCAAAATCCTGCTTTGTGTGGCTGAATGGGTTTGTCCCTACAGGGGCTCACTTGCATCAAATGCAAATGAATCTGCACAGACCTGCTCTCAGGTTCCTTTCAAATGCGCTCATAACACATATGGTCTGTCTGTGTAACTGGTGAGAGCATCAGCTTTATATAAATTTGACAGGGAACAGATTAGAAGAGGCTCCTCTTTAAGGTCTGCATTCTGGCTACTGAGTAAATTGAATGTGGCATTGTGTGTAGCAGCAGGGCTCTGGTCTCAGGGTGCTGTTGGTATTCTTGGAGGGCCAGAGCTAAAGCTGTGAATCAATTTTTACACAAGCTGTAGAGTTACATGGCAAAGTAAGGCAAATTGAGTGCACTGTATAAACCAAAGCCAGTATCCAAAATAAGAGATTTGAGAAACTGTGGAAGGAGAATACTTTGTTAGACAAGATCTAACTTGTACTAAGCAGTTCACACTCTGGTACGAAAGGTGTTTTGTGCCTCCTCTGGAATAAGAGGAGAGGATTAGATGGAACTACAAGGAAAAAATGATGTGCTATAGAAAAAAGTTAAGTTTGTTACTGCTCAGTAAGACTGATCATCCCAGCGTATTAAAAAAATCAGAGATTTATTTCAGTATTAATCTCTGCCAGTATTTTGTTTTGTGTAGAAGCTGCTACTGCTGTGGCAATTCTCACAAATCAGAACTTAAGCTTCATAATTTCATACTGCTCTGTTGGATAAATCCAGCTGAAAAGTTAAAATCCAGAACATGACAACACTTCTGACCAATTCTGACCAATTTTATTAGAGTACTAACATTGGTAGGTAAAAAAACCAGTATGAAATATTAACACTAGCAATGCTAGTGGTAATACGTGAAGTAAATTAAACAATCTACTTCATCTTTTTTTTACAAAATACAAAAATCACTCCGGCAGTTAATATTCATTACTATTGCCTTATGCATCTGCATCTTTTCTACTTTTTTAACCATATCTTTCATGCCACTTTGCAAACTGGGTGTTAGTTTTTAAAACTTTAGCACAAAACAGACAAAATGATTCAAGGCAACTTCAACATCAGCTGCTGTGGAACAATCACATTTTGTTTACACCTAACATATGGATTATATTTACATATTAACTGAGCAGTGATTCAATTAACAAACGTGGTGATTATCCAAAATATACACAGTATATAAATCCCCTATCAGGTCTGGGAGGAAAAGGCCACATCCTGATGGACTCAGAAATCCAGGCAACTGGAAGCAGTCTTACGAAGATGCTCTCTTCTGTTCAGAAAAGGGAGATTCGTAGGCTTCCATTGGTGGGCAGGTGCAAACCAGATGTTGATCTCCATATATGTCATCAATGCGAGCAATTGTGGGCCAAAACTTGCTTTCGGGTTTCACAAATGGCTAAGTACAGAAGAAGAAACAACTATTTCAATTTTTGTACCAAGCAAATCTGCATAATTGTAGTAGACATTAGAAGTTTTAAGAATGACGAATGCTGGAAAAGTGGGGTTTTTTAAGTGAAGTCATACTTCAAATCTATTTGCAGTCCCTGAAAGCTAACAAGCATGTATAATAGATTTGGCAGTCAAAAGAATATTTAGATTTTTTAAAAAGTGTAAGCATGTCCTCTAACAAATGCTTGCAAAGAAGCAGTTGTCATGGGATAAAAGAAGACTATGACACTTTAAATAACTGGCTTACAGATAGGAACCAAGGAAAAGTGGAGGAGACTACCAAGACCTGTGCGGTTCAATATAGTTACAATACATAAAACAAGGTGGCAGATTTCACAGGTGCAGTTGAAGTCTTCCTCTTTCGAACAGTATGTAGCAATAAAATACATGCAATTCAGTTTTAGGTGAGAAAAGATAGTTACACATATATTTAGCTGTTAAGATTGTGGATGCAATTTTATGTAGTGCCCTGAAGAATTCTGATGTATCCACCTCCACTTTGACCTTTATTTGTAGCAGGTTCACATTGGTGTGGCTTGCCGCATGCTAACTGTGCATCTTGTCAAACCCTCACCCAAGTTCTTTGGAGCAGACCCATGAACTTCAGGACAGGACATGGGACTCTGTTTTGGGAGCCCCTGGTGCAGTATGTCAGAACTGAACAGGCTGTTTCCAATAGGAATATCCAGTATTGAAGTGCTGAGATTTAGAAATCCAGGTTTGCACTTCATGCGTAGAGATTTTTTTTTTTTAAAGATCTTTTTGCCTTGTCCTGAAAAACAAAACTAATGGAACTACTGTAGCGCTCACACACATAAAAAATTGAGCAACAGTAAAAATGGCTCTGAAGTTTTTATTCTTACCAGATTACTTCATCTCCAACTGACCAGAAAACCACAGAGCAGAAAGCACATTTATGTATTACCACACCACTAGGATCCTATTATTTACTCACCAGTGGGAATGCTGCCACTTCTCTGGAATAAGGACGATCCCACTTGGAAGAAGTGACACAGTTCAGAGTATGTGGTGACATCTACAAGCAAAAAGACATGTTAGGACATGAAATTACTAAATTCAGTTGAACACATCAATGTGAACCATCCTTCAAGTTCACATTACCACATGTAAATAATTGTTGTCTCAAGACTCTCTTGAGAATACCATTTATCTGGGGAAAAAAAAGACGGATTTAAAACAGGAAGCAAGTCAGTATCTGGATTTTTTTTCAGTTTGAAGATACTGAAGATACTACCCAAGGTTTGAATAGGCTTCCAGCTTTTCACTAAATCCCTTTAGTATTTAAAAACTCAGTACAGCATTACAAGAGTTGAACCGAACTTGAGCCTACAGCAATTTTGTGCTGTAGTTGCTAAAATAATTCATTCAATATTTATTTTAGTTAGTTTTAAGGTCATTCCACTTCCCTTCTTAAACCAGATAAATAAGCGTCTCTCCTTCATTACTTTGAGATGGCCTGAAAAAATACAGCTTTGTCAGCAAAGGCCAGACTTCTGGCTTGAAAAAGTCAAAATTCAAATTTTGAAAAAGTCTTGAGGTTTCTAAAAAAAGTAAAATTTCAAGAAGTTCGTGTGTTTGCTGTTGCACAGAGTTATTTTCAAGAGTACTGAAAGACCAGGAAGAGTGCTCACGTAGTCTCAAGTAAATCTCAAGGGTTAAGCCGATGCTGGTAACTTGCTTTATATGCCATCTTACCTTTAGTGGGTTAATTTGGGGATCCATCCTGCCCTCCTCAATTTCAGCAATT